CAAGTCACTGTAAAATTGAAAGAAACAAAAAAGTAAAAAAAAAAAAAGTTTTCAGCAAGGTTTGCAACACAAGACAAATATGAGACTTGTGCTTTTCAAAAGCACATCTTTGAGAGTTAGAGGCAGCAGTGCATTTATTTCACTTTCAGGAAGTATTCTTTCCTTAGGACTGAAACAACTGAGGCAGATCTAACCAAAACTGGAATTAAAGACATCAAAATATGTGGATGTTTTTTTTTATTATAATTTGTATCGGATCCAGTGCTCCACAACTTCAAAATTTATACWGTTTTATTTCATTTTTTTGTTATGCATGATTTATTCTACTGCATTTTCACCAAGTGTTATAATTAAATACTTCTTTTGCATTTACCTGCTGTTACACACTTACGAACAAAAGGAGTCTGGCATGGACTTCAGATCTTATAAAGAACTGAGTGTGATAGCCTATAAAGACACTACAAGAAACAAAGGCTSAATTATTAAGCATTAAAGTTTAATACACCTTCCTTCAGCTGGTTCCCCTAGCTCTAAAYTTTAGAAGTACAAGTACAAAAAGAAACAACTCACTATAATTTTATGTGTTGTCATCTTAAGCRTCACACATTATTTGCTATTTCATGTGAAGCTTTACAGGTTGCATCATGTGAGTTTGCTTTCTGTGGTGACCCCTGCAAAAAGGAGCAACACATTTGTTTTTCTCTGCTCCAGATACTCAACCCGACCACCTCCTCTTCATCAAGTAGAGAAAGATGGAATGCCCTCTCTTAGTCGGGGAATGAGTCTTTGTCTTAATTGGAGGAGCACTGCTGAGCAAAACTGCATCACAGCTGAAAGGAACTAAGACAACAGTGATGCCATCAATAATAAAAATAAGTATCTAATTAGATAATGTTATCCATCCATTTTCTGCTATTTATCTGTGGCTGAGTCACAGAACAGCAGCAACAGGTTCAGAAGGGAGAACCAGACATCCTGCTCCCCGGAATCACTCTCCTGCATTTCTTGGCCAGATAGGAGACATAACCCCTCCAGTGAGATCCAGGTCTGAGCTGAGTGGGAGGTGCCTGGAAAACCTTCAGGGGGAGGTAACCAGGAGACATCCTAATTCAGATGCCTGAACCACATCATMTTGTTTTTGGTGAGGAGCAGCAGCTCTACTCGATGACTGAGTTCCTCACCTCATCTCTAAGCCTGAGCACAGCCACCCTACAAAGGAAGCCCAATTCAATTGATTGTATCCAGGTTTTCGTTCATTCAGTCATGATTCAGATCTCATGACCATAAGTGAGTGGTGAAACATAGATGGACCAATAAATCGAGTGCTCTGCCTTGTGGCTCTACATGTTCTTCACTACAACAGACCAGAGCAACACTGTCATCACTGGAGATGAGGCCTTGATCCATTGATGGACTTTACTCTTCATCCTAAAAGACTTCCAGATACCTGGAGCAGAGACTCATCCTGGACTCAGGGAGTATTCCACCCATGTCTTATGAGAACCGAAGTCTCAGGTTTAAAAAAGCTGACTGTCATCACAGCTGCTTCACACTGTGAGCTGTGAACATCCACCCCCACACACTGAAGGTCACAGTCTGAGGATACCAACATCAGCTGCAAAAAGCAGATATAAGACCTAGAGGTTTTCCATACAAACCCTTTCCAACTGCACACCGACACCCTTTTCATAAGCACCACAAACAATCAGGAGCAGCTCTGGCAGAATCCAACTYGCACCGGAAACAAGTTCAACTTTTTGGCGAGGATTAGACCAGGGGTGGGTGTACTCCTGACCCTTGAGAGCCGCTATCCTGCATGTTYTAGAGGTTTCTCTGCAACAGKACATGTGATTTGAATRAATGGGTGAYTAACAAGCTYAGAACTTAAGGGAATTCAATCACTGAATCAGAGGAACAAGTAAAACATGGATGACAGCAGCCCTCGAGGGCCGGGATTGCCCACCCTGGATTATACTCTAAATTACATTAAAAATTATTTAGTCTTTTTTTTGGGGGACAACCCTAATGGTAACGGGTTCCCTTGAACCTCCTGCCAGTGCCAGAAAGGCACTATTTTTCAAAAAAAAAAAAAATACAAAAGCATAAGTCCTTTTTGGACCATATCATTGTAAGCGATTTTTTTAAAGTGCTTATGAAACTGAGGTGACAACCGTGAGSTGAAGAGGATCTTCACCCCATCACTTCTGTTTATACTCTAGTCTAAAATGGTGTTGCAGCACGTTTCTTTGGCCAACAAAGACACAAGAAAAAGAGAAATTTATGTAAAACATTTGGTTGGTAAATAAAAAAAGAGTAATTTATAAGAACAAAGTAGAAAGGAAAATTACTGCAGAAACTTGAAAAATAAAAAGGAGGAACAAAAAGAAGAAATGGGATGAAGCTGAAAGGAGAGGATAAAATTCACTGTGGAGAAAAGCAGCCTTTGTTCAAGCGTTTGACCCTCTTCTGATATAAAGGACCCCGCAGCCTTTAGTTGGAGTAACCTTGTGCTTGTGAGCCAAGTCCCCTGAGATGCATGGGCCCTGTCAGAGTCGGGGCCCTAGAGCCACCTTGCTGAAACAGCCCTATATTTCTGCACTACATCTGCATTCAGAGGTCATTCATCACAAAGTGCACAGTCACAGGTATGCTTCGCCTACAAGCCTGTGCCCACTGAAGGCTCAGCAGCAAATCTTATCACTCTGCATACTTCCTTTTTAAAAGGACATAAAAGTAACATTTTATGGGCATGTTTGGGATTCTGAAATTACTAATAACTCAAATTCCAGAGTTCAGATTTGAWTGAGAAAAACATACAACTTCATGGAGTCAGCATAGAAGAGAAGATACCTCATCAYGTGGATTTCCTTCAGACTTTGTCATACTGTTACCACTGTGCCTTAACGTAGGAAGTACAAAATGATTTTTGCTCTGTTATTAACTGAAATCAACCTTTTTTTTTTCAAAACTTAAGTTTACTCTTGAAAATCTGTGATTTTTATGAATGAATTTTGAAAATGTTGTCTCTATGGCCTGTCTGTGCACATATTGACAGACCAGAATAAATTAAACAAGTACAAGTTACGAGTAATGAACGATAGCTACATATGTATCTATATATGACAGGTTTTTTTTATTTACTTTGTTTTCTAACCCTGTTGAGTTAGGATTAGGAGCTCTAAAACTCTTGAGAAAAACGTTCCTAAATATGTTCCAACATTCCAACATGTTCTACACTTCCTATAAAATTATTTTACTTTGATCTGAAGTCTTTACAGACATTCTGCTCACTGCTGCCTTTGATTAAAGCAAAAATAAATAAATAAATAAATAATTATGATGTTTCTTTATATATATGTCCTCCAGTCTTTTTCAGAGCTTACTTTTAATTTTATGAAATGCTCTGTCAGTGCTTGTAATTTCAATTTTTTTCTTTAGATAATTTCATTCTTTTGCACTTTTCAAAATGTTCAAAACATTTTTGTTTGTGTAAAGCACTTTTGATTACCCAGTTGCTGAAATGTGCCTTTTTACGTACTGTTCTACTGCACTAAAGTATTTGGGTTGTTTATTCTCAAGATACTCCCTTAATTACCAACTTATCATGGTGGACCATTTTCTGAGCCCGAATCATCCTTGGAGCTATACTGCTGGGAGCATTTACCATGGCTATGGGCAGGCAGGAGAGGCCATACAGGTCAGGTACAAAGTGCTATGGGTGGCAGTGTTGAAGGTGTAAATCCAATGATGACATTAAGAGTGGAAATAAAATCTTTTCAGCGGTTTATGAAAGATATTTTTCAAACATACAGACAAAATAACACAAAAAGCAAATGCGCATGCGCACATACAAGTAAACAATTACCATATTGCCTGCCTTCATTGCAATGAGCTATTAAAAATTTATTACAACCAAAATGCTATGTTTCCAGGGATAAAATACTCTAGTAATGAGACAGTAAAATGTTAATGCTACTGATAATTGGCTAAAGTAAAATTAATTGTTACAATAAAAAAGAAATGTGTTTTAACACTGCTGAGACAAGCTGTGACGTTTCTGTGCAGATATAAAATATATTTTCCTTTTAAAAATTTTAGGCTAAGAAAATTACTTAAAACATTTGTCACAGAATATCCATCAKCTGAGCCTGACTGTTATCAAACTGCTGCAGTCACATGACTGAACATACACCTGAGGGATCATGCTCAACACAGGCAGTGATGGATGAAGCTTTCCAGTATGTCACTAGATACAGTATATATATACATACATACAGTGACATACTGGAAAGCTT